AGAAAAACCCGTAACCTCTAAGGGGAGGTGCTGAATGGTAGGATTTCTGGAATCTACATACCCAACTCAGTTATGGGCACAGATGGAGGCATCCTATCCCAATGAATGGTGTTGTCGTTAGCCTGCAGTGAGCCAACACAAGGACACAGCACAAAGGCCATCTCTTTTATTCCAGTGTTCACTTGAGTGGGGAACAAATATTGAGAGAGAGAGAGAGAGAGAGAGAGAGAGAGAGAGATCTATATCTATCTCACAATATATATACACACGCACACATATATTAAAGCTGTCAAGCGATTAAAAAAATTCGTCGCGATTAATCGCACAATTAAAAAATTAGTCACGATTAATCGCACTGTTAAACAATCATAGAATACCATTTATTTAAATAGTTTTGGATTTTTTTACATTTTCAAATATATTGATTTCAATTATAACAGACTACAAAGTATACAGTGCTCACTTTATATTTAGTTTTGATTACAAATATTTGCACTGTAAAAAACAAAAGAAATAGTATTTTTCAATTCACCTAATACAAGTACTGTAGTGCAATCTCTTTATCATGAAAGTTGAACTTACAAATGGAGACATATGTACAAAAAAATAACTTCATTAAAAAATAAAGCAGTGTAAAACTTTAGAGCCTACAAGTCCACTCAGTCCTATTTCTTGTTCATCCAATCGCTCAGACAAACAAGTTTGTTTACATTTGCAGGAGTTAATGCTGCCCGCTTCTTGTTCACATCACCTGAAAGTGAGAACTTGTTTTCTCATGGCACTGTTGTAGTCGGCATCGCAAGTTATTTACATGCCAGATGCGCTAAAGATTCATATGTTCCTTCATGCTTCAACCACCATTCCAGAGGACATGCGTCCATGCTGATGACGGGTTCAGCTCAATAACAATCCAAAGCAGTGTGGACTGATGCATGTGCATTTTCATCATCTGGGTCAGATGCCACCAGCAGGAGGTTGATTTTCTTTTTTGGAGGGTTCGGAGTCTGTAGTTTCCACGTCGGAGTGTTGCTCTTTTACAGCTTCTGGAAGCATGCTCCACATCTCATCCCTCTCAGATTTTGGAAGGCACTTCAGATTCTTAAACCTTGGGTTGAGTGCTGTAGCTATCTTTAGAAATCTCACATTAGTACCTTCTTTGCGTTTTGTCAAATCTGCAGCAAAAGCACTCTTAATATGAACATATGCTTAGTCATCATCCGAGACTACCATAACATGAAATATATGGCAGAATATGGGTAAAATAGAGCCGGAGACAAACAATTCTCCTACAAGCAGTTCAGTCACTAATTTAATTAGTGCATTATTTCTTTAACAAGTGTCATCAGCATGGAAGCACATCCTCTGGAATGGTGGCTGATGCATGAAGAGGCATACAAATGTTTAGCGTATCTGGCATGTAAATACCTTCCAATGACAGCTACAAAAGTCCCATGCAAACACCTGTTCTCACTTTCTGGTGACATTGTAAATAAGAAGTGGGCAGCATTATCTCCCATAAATGTAAACAAAATTATTTGTCTTAGCGATTGGCAGAATGAGAAGTAAGACTGAGTGGACTTGTAGGCTCTGAAGTTTTGCATTGTTTTGTTTTTGAGTGCAATTTTGTAACAAAAAAGTCTACATTTGCAAGTTGCACTTTCATGATAAAGAGACTGCACTACGGTACTTGTGTGAGGTGAATTGAAAAATATGGTTTCTTTTGTTTATCATTTTTACAGTGCAAATATTTGTAATAAAAATAATAATATAAAGTGAGCAGTGTACACTTTGTATTCTCTGTTGTAACTGACATCAATATATTTGAAAACATAGAAGAACATCCAAAAATATTTAATACATTTCAATTGTTATTCTATTGTTTACCAATGCGATTAAAACTGCGATTAATCACAATTAATTTTTTGAGTTAATCGCATAAGTTAACTATAATTAATCAACAGCCCTAATATAGATAGATAGATAGATAGATAGATAGATAGATAGATAGATTTAGGAGGTGGAAGGAATCTGATTTTTAAATGAGCAGCATGTTATTCTAAATATAGTACATGTACTCAGAAATACTGTATTGGATGCATATTAAAATCTGATGTATACATATAAGTAATTTATTCTCTGAACATATTAAGGAGGAATCAAGCTGATCACTAGAGTTCTTCAGCCTATGTCTAAGGATTTCTAAATAAGAAATAAGAAAACAATTAAAATCAGTTACAAGAAGATTATTTTGGTTATAATTTGCCTTTACTTCCCTTCCTACTTCAATTGATTTATTTTTCATTCATTTTTTGGATCATTAAAAACTGCTTTTTATAAATTCATGTATTCATAGATTTAAGGCCAGAAGGGACCAGTCCAACCTACCACATAACTTACGACATACATTTTCATCAAGTTATTACTGCATCAAGCTCAATAAGTTGTGATTGAACTAGAGTATATCAATCAACTGTAAAAGTTGTTTTGACTATTTAAACATTTTATGAAATTGTAACTCACGAGACTCTTAAATCAGACTTGCCAAATTTCCATGATGACATCCAGACTAAAGCCTATTTAATATGTATGTTATTTAAGTAACTAATAAATTTGGAGATGTGTGGTGCGTATGTACAGAAAGGCAGTGTGTGCTGCATTTAGAGTAGAGGACTGGGAGTCAAGGGTGCTGGGCTCCATTTCCAGCTCTGCCAATGACTCACTGTGCAGCCTAGAGCAAGTCACTTCTCCTCTATACCTCAGTTTACTCATCAACAAAATTGATATAATACTATTTACCTCAGAAGAATTTTGTGAGAACAAATGCTTATAAGTAACTGGATTAAAATACAATATGCAAACCGTGATCAGATAAGGACAAGAACGCATATAAGTAAAAACACCAGCAGCTGCTGGTGCCTTGTCTACACAAAATCTCCTGTTATTGCTACCACTGATGTAGATGCACCAGTGGTAATTTAGGGAGAAATTCTAGGGTAGATCAGGCTTTGTTGCACTAAGGGTGGAAATCCCCAGCAGAAAATAAAATTGTTCAAGCAGTGAACAGGCTCAGGGAAAAAAAGCATTGATTCAATATTTTGTTTTTAAAAGCCTGAAGAATTACAGGGATTTTAATAAGTGGAAAAGTTAAACCACATTTCATGACAGCCGAAATTGTCCCCTCAATTTCAGCTCCATGTCTGCCATTATTTAACATTAAAACCTAATGTTAGGGAAACTGATATTTACTAAGTAGAAAAGATCGAAAAAATATGACTGAAGCTACGATTTTGTCATACACAATTTAGTCCATTTCATAGCACAGGTGCTGGGAAAAAAATCCACAGTCATGGAAAGTTCATAGCAGAGGGTTGTGGGAAAAGGCATGTTGAAGAGCAGCCCAGCCCAGCGAGGAGGGAAGGCTCCCAGAGGGGTGTTGGAGAGCAAGCCAACCCCGGAGAAGAGGGGAGACTAGAGAGCAAGTCCACCCCACCAAGGAGGGGAGGCCTCAGGGGACTGGAAGGACAGAAGAGCAAACCCACTCCACTCTCACCTCACAATGGCAGCTCCTGTCCCATGGGCTGGACCTGTCTCCCTGCTCCAAGCATTGTAACTCTGCGCATTAGGTTGCCACTCCACTCAGGTTTGGCACATCCGCCCCATCTTCATCTACAGATGAGAAGACATGCCAAACCTGAGTGGCGCTGTCACCACATGGGCCAGGTTGCAGTGCCCAGAGCAGGGAACTGGGGCCACAGGAGTGACCACTGTGGGGGGGTCACAAACTTTATTAAAATTCACAATTACTGTGAACACCATCACCTCATCACCAAAATAGTAGCCAGAGTTATGATTGTGACAGAAGAAAATTTAGCTTCTACCCATATGTGATACCACAAGTAGATTTTTCCAAAATGTCAAACAGATAAAGAACAAACAAACCAAAAATTAAGGCCACTTGTCCTAATTTACTGTACTTTTTACTGTATGAATAAAAAATTGCACATAGTTATTTCAAATAATAACCTACATACTTTCAGTAGGGTGCAAACTGTCTGTTGAGCAGACAACAGTTCATTTGCCCTCTTATGATTATTTCTTTTATTATTAATCACCAGAGAGAATACCTTGAATTAGTATAGAAAATACGGTGTGTGTGTGTGTGTGTGTTTGTGTTTATAAAAATCTGATCCTTGGTCTTCTCACAATTGTACTGCTGAACAATAATTTACCAGTGTACACAATCGGCATACTTATCAATTAATACACTTTCTACTACCTTGAAATCACAGTGCTATCTAATAAAATATTCCAGATTCCTTCCTATATTAAGAGTAAAAATACAGCTTCTCCCTCTTCCCCTCCCCTCAGTTTCCCTGTATCAACTTGGACAATTTCATTCTAGCTATCTATAGTCAATGACAGTGTTTCAATAACTGGTACACTGTTAATTTATGCAGTATCCAAGTTCTTCCTTCATTAAGAAGTAAAAATGTTCACTTCATGCCTAGATTTGAAGAAAAATCTTGAACAAAATAAATTAGCATGGATTTTTTGGGCAAAGATTTTTCAATAATAAAATTATACCTCCATTTTTAATGTCAGCCTCTCCACCCCACCCCACTAATAAACACACATACACAAAATATCAATCAGTTATAAAAAAAACATAGTGCTGCTCTTTTGTCAACCTCCAATTAATATCAACAAAATAGGCTTTTTTTGGGGGGGGGAATGCTAGATACACACTATTTTTCAACAGAGAAGATTTAGATTAGAGTGAAAGGTCTGCAAGCAAAGATATTAAATATCCACTTCAAAATAGATTTAAGACATTATAATTTTCAAACTCAACCTAAGAACCTTATTTTTCCAGGCTATTTGTGATGCTTTTGTGATATTTCACCTGCACATAAACAAAAACAGATTCCCACAAGCTCTGCATTACAAGCTGCTAAAATTCAAATCAATTGAGAATCATGGAATGGTCTATACAAACTTACCAGCTCCACAGATCCATAATGCTTTCTACTGAACTCTCCACGTCTACAGCCCAAGTCTTCGGAGACAGAGCTGGAACAGAAATGCTTCATCAGTAGACATAGTTAACTGGCCCTAAAGCTCCTGCAATACTCAGCTACCATTGACAAAAATCATTCCTGCTGAACAAGGTTTGCGGTGCATAAGCTCATCACTGCAGGGAACCCTCCTTACAACATGCACAACCTCTAGCAGCCATTGCAGTCTAGCTTTCATATTACCCTGAAAGAGAATGAAATGCCTGAGCTTGTTCGGAAGAAAAAAAACATTATTAAATTAAATATTTAGTCATTATGTGATCAACTGAGAGCTCCAGGGTGGATGGTGATTATAAATTGCATTTGAGATCTCTGCCTAACCTAAGGGAAAAGAAACCCTGCAGTAAACTTAACGCATAGAACAGGACAGCCTACATGAGCTATATTTGCTGACACGTGGTATGCTGTAATTAACTTTCTTATAGGAGAATCTCTTTATTTGTCCTAAATACTCATAGAAAAGAAAAATACAATGATTTTACTTCTGAAGTTTTTAAAAAAACAATAATTAGTTTATAGTTTCCTCCTCCTCTAGGCTTTAGTGACAAAAATAAAATTCTCATTCAGAATAACTGGAAGTCTAGCCCCAAGTTAAATGTGTGTGGGTGCATACATGTGCATTCAAACAGTTATTTCGTATGTGTATAATGTATATCAATTTATGGGTTTGGTATACCTAGAACAAGTGGCAAATACATTTTTCTCTCTCAATACCTATAGTACACTTTGGTCCCACATATATAGTGGTGATATCCATGTTAGAAATACCATCTAAAAAAGGCAAGGCTGTAATTTAGTATAAAACTTTGACTGCCTGACCTGCACTCTGTCTACTAGTCAATCTCCCCAGCACTTTTTCTGACAACCCAAACCTACCACTAGCTTCCAACAGTCACTACTATTATATAGATTTTTTCAACTTGCTACAAAAATATTTTCCTCAAAAAATTGCTTTCATGTAACATGGGCAACAGTCAGTCACATACCAAGAACAGATATCCTTTTAGATATCTTTGGAAATATCAATGGTAGAAACTGCCGCTTTAACTGTATGGAAGGAGAGTTTCTTAGCTTTCAGTAAGACTCGGAGCACTTGCTTCAGCCCTACAGAAACCAAAGGTACCAAGATTTAAAATTACAATTTTTAATATAGAAAAGCTATTTTTGGTTGTATTTACAGGTATTTAAAATGCCTTAGTTATTATTTTCTTTTCTTTTGACTTCTGTGTGGTTGGACTCAAGGCAGCATAAATTTAGGTGGAAAAATACAAATGAAACAGCTCTAAGAAAAATTTTTAAACTTGCCAAAATAATTCTAAAATACTTTCTCTCAAACCTAAGGATTATACAGAAAATACAATGAAGCATTACTGGTACTCATTTGAGATGACCCGCATTACACAATTATAAGCTGCTGATGGATAGAGTTGCCATCCCAAAGTCATGCCAACACAACCTTCACATTACACCACTCCATCATGTAATCTATATCTATTCATCCACCACCTACTTATATAAATCACACACACACACACCCCAGACAGAAAAAGAAAACGCTAAATTCTTTAGTTAAGTATGGAAAACTGGATAAGAGAACTGAGTTCTATGGACATAATTCAGATCTTGGATAGGATTTTCAAAAACACCTACATCATGTTTGAAAGTGAGATTTACACACTTTTAAAATGTTTACCACTTACCACACAAATGAATATAAACAGATTATCCCACATGCAATGATTATACTGTATTATATTACATATAACTAAGGCTTTAAAATAAATTACAGTAGATTCCACTTTATAGCAATACTGATAATAGCAACTTCCAATTACTGGCAATACACTGTCAGGAACCAATCCCATCCCATTATGAATGTTAATAGGACTCAGTTACTGGCAACAGGCATGCCGCTTATTAGCAACTTTTTTAGAGTAGAGTTCCTATCTGTAATCAATTTCCTGGCTCTAAGAACACAGCTCAACACTTCTGCTGCGTACCATAGCCTCCAAATGCTTGGACCTATCTTTCACCAATAAAGTTTGGGTTCTGGAGCCCCTATGTGAGCCCAGTGCTAAGCAAGCGCATGTAGCCAAAAAATTTGGTATCTCAAAGTCAAGTGTTTGACCGATTCTGAAGAACAGCCCTAACATTTTACAGGAGCATAGAAGCAGCACAAACCAAGGCTGCAAGCATCAACACAATGGAAAGGAGGCAGATGTCCGTGAAACCCTGTAACTCTGGTTTCAGCATAAGCTTGGCCAAGGTGCTCAACTCTCCAAACCAAAGCAGAAATAAAGCTAGTCAGCTGGCAGCAGAGCAGGGGAAGGAGTTCAACCCTTCAGATGGCTGGCTCATTCAATGGAAAGCCCACCACACTGTCGTTCAACAAAAAGAGCATAGCAAGAAAGAAGACACTGATCTTCTGGTGACTACTGAATGGAGGATGGACACCTTACCCAGCATTCTAAAGAAGTTCCAGCCGCATGACATCTTGAGTGCTGATGAACCTGGTCTCTTCTACTGGGCTTTCCCGACAGAGGCTGTAGCATGATGAAAGAAGGGTTTGCAAGAGGGGGAAGAAAAAAAATAAAGCTATGGACCACATTTCATTGGTGTGTTGTGCAAACAGGGATGGAATGGAGAAATCCTATCTTATAGTGGTTGAAAAGAGCAAGTGGCCTCATTGTTCCCAAGGACCACTCAAAGCTGCCATGATCTACCAAAGCTCTGCAAATGCCTGGATGCAAATTTGTTGTTTGAAGAATGGCTAAATTGCCCGGCTCATTCACTTAACGTAGAGCTATCACACATCGTGTTAAAATTCTTCCCTCCAAACCCAACCTTAGTCATGCACCCAATGCACATGAGTATCATTAAAAACTTCAACGGTCTCTACTGTGATCATCTTACTGCACGCATCATCACATCTCTTGATGCTGACCCACACTTACAAGCATTGGATGTTGACAAAGAACAATTCTGATTGATGTATTTCATCTTGTTAAGAAGTCATGGGCCATTGTTCTCCCCAAGACTGTTGCAAACCCTCCCTTGCTAAAGCAGTTTTCAACAGCAACAGAAAGTGCTGGCTTGGTGGACATAATGTGATGGCCAATGCATCAGTTCCGGAAACTTTAAAAGCACATGAATTTGAGGCCATTGTTGAATATGACAGTCATTTGCAGACAGAAGGTGAGCTCATTGGTGCAGAATTTCTAGAGACAGTAGTGGCTGTGAAGCACCAACAGGCTGCTGAGCCACAAGACAATAGTCCATTGGATGATGAACCTGAAGAGCCTTCGCTTATAGAACAGCTACGTGCAGTGGACATTTTCCACAAGATATGATAGAATCATGGCTTTGAGAATGGCTATGAGGCTGCATGCAAGACTGAAGGATTTACAAGTGGAGGTGGCCAACCATAAAAAGCAGACAGACAAATTTTGTTCTTGAAAACTTTTATTTTACATTTTAAACAAAAAATGCTTTACTCTGTGTGACACATGAGGAGCACTAACTGTAAGTATGTACTGTTCATCTTACCAAGACATTATACTATAAATGTTTTGTGTGTGTTCTTTGGTGCTTTTGAAAAAACTTTGTTATAAAATTGTCTGGCACTACAGTCTTTGTGACTCATAGCAAGATGAGATTTCTAAAGTTTGCTCAAAGCTTCATGGTACGCTTTATAATGTATCCATTTCTGTGTGTCACGTTTGGTTTTCTTCTTGAGAACATTGTATCAAACTAAAAGTTAATGAAAAATTTCACTTTGCAATGTATCCTTGTTCCACACTAGCATTTCTATGTATCCCTATGAAAACAGAGCCTTCCACTTATTGGCAACTTCCAAATAATAGCAACTTTTTTCTGAAAACTGAGAGGTTTCTAATATGCAGAATCTACTGTATTTTATTTGGCAATTCAAACAATAAAACATGAAATGTTGGCCTCAGGTGTTTTGTCACCATTTCCTAAAACAGAGCAATGGTTTTTTTTCACAAATTTAAGATTTTAGCTTTTGATTGGCTATAAAATGCACTTGGATTTGATTGCAGATCATTTCCTGGAGATCTCAGTGAAATAACTTCAAGGTAGTAACATCCCACATATCTGTCTGAAGTACTTATGTGTGACATAGAGAAGTACTATTATCCCCATTTTACCTGAGGTACCTATCAGTTTGCCCAAGATCATAGGAACTATGTGGTAGGGCAGGGAATTGAACCCAGGTCTTCCAAGTCCTAAGCTAGCACCCTTACCTCTGCCATTTGACCTAATGTGTACTATTTGCATTGCAGTAGTACTGCTGTATGGCTATTGATCTCAAAGGCCTAAGGAGTTAAACGTGTTATAAACTCTTTCACTGTCCAACACTGAACAGAGATAGATAGGTTTGGGGTTAGTTTTAAATAGTTTGGGGTTTACTCTGTTACTTGGCAAAACACCCAAAATCATTCATTCAAATTAAAAATATACTGATTAAACAAAACAAAACAAAAAACAAAACAAAAAAGAAGGAACAAGAAATTAAAACAAGCATTTATATTGAAACTGAGTGATTATGCAAAAGAAATTTCAGACCTTACCAAAGTCTCTCTCCTTTTGGAGTCAAAGTATCAGACTCTCCCATTTTCAGAACAACTTTTCTCTGATGAAAAAAGGAAAAAGTTAATTTTACTTTCAGTCCTAATGTGAAGGAGATTCACTTGTCCTGTTCTTAAGAAACAGACTCAAGGTGGAGGAGAAACAGGATAGAAAAGGAAACACTGGACCACTGGTTAGTTACAAGTGGATGCTTTGGCTGGCAAGTCAACCACGACACCTGCTCTTTAAAACTTGATGGCCCTGACCAGATCATAACTAATCATCTGGCTGGATCCTTAGACAAGGCAGTAATGATGAATGCAGTATAGCTGACTTCAGGATTTGATGAAAAGCCAAGAGAGTAAGATAGGACAGGAGGAAAGAAACAGAGGGGGAAGAAAACAACACAGCAAGGGAAGGGAATACAATATAGGATCTTACAAGCTTTTTGTAGTGCTGGTAATTAGCTATCTCCACTGGAGGTTTGAGGACTGGATGCCATGATAATCTGATGATTTTCAGCACTTACAGATGAAAACAAAATTCCTTAAACAAGAGCAAGGCCAACCAGCATTCGTCTCAGGAGGAAAGTCTTTCAGATGAGCCAAGATTAGTTGCAAAGCTGGCAGAGGAGCTGAGGGAAGATTGTTTCCCCTTCAAAATCTCTCTTTAAGAGCCACAAAAAGTAGTAAAAGTGGGTGGCATATATTATCCTAGTTATTTTGTCAATCAATTAAATCAATTTCCGTAAGCCAAAATTGGGAGAAGTAACTTTGTTCCCACATTTTCTTGTTTATCAAGTATGATCTCCCCATAGTCGTTGACTTATATCAATAGGTCATTTTGTTTGGACAGACAGTTTTTCTGTCTGGTTTCCTTGCACCTATTATAATATTCACTGTCGTAAACAACTTAACCTATTTTTCATGGTTATTGTAACATCTTATGAACTTTCATATACCTTTTACAACTGAGCTTAGGGTATCTTTCCAGGTGCAATAATCACAACAGTACCTCAACGCCCCAATCAGCAGAACACACCATTGTTCTGGTCCTTGTGCAATCATATAAGTAGACAATTCCTGTCCCAAAGAGTTTATAATCTATTTAAGACAAGAAAAATAATGATTACTAACAGCAGGCCAACAAGAGGGAGAAATTAGAAAGGGAGAGAGTAATTATGAGATCCTGCATCTACATAGGCTGCAACTGTCTGTCCCATCCAGAGAGTCCACTCTGGTCTGTGTGGTTGCTACAGGAGGCTCAGTGAGGCTGGCAAGCACACTCAGTGCAGATGGAATTTTCAGGTATTTTAGTAGCAAGCCTGTGGTTTATAACTTGGCCAAATCTGAATGGATTTTCACAGGAACAGCAAAAGGCACCTCCCTAATCCTAGGACAACCCCCTGCCAAATTTCGGGTTCCTGCTCCCAATCTACAAGGCACAAGAGCTCCTTAAAAACTGGTCAAGAAAATGAATTACTGTTAAAACTACCTATTTTTCTCTGACTATTTTTGACTATGGCTGAATTGTTTTTGCTGAGGAAAAAAAACCATGTGAGGCAGAGTCCAGACATGGAAAGAGTCAACCTGAGTTATTTAAACTTTGGAAAAGTTATAAACAATTGAAAATACAGTGTTCTAATGGGAAATGTTATGTAACATTAACAGGGTTCAGAGACAGCAACCCATATAATATATATATAATCATCAATCCCTACTGGCTCTCTACCTAGCCACTATCGACAATTTCCTATAGACTTCATTATAGAAGTGGGTGTTGAAATTGGGCTGTCAGGCCTCTACCCTAAGACTGTATTACATGCATAAGAGGATGGTATGGAAGAAAGCATGTAGATGCTTGTGCAAGTAATGGACAGTTGAGATTTGCATCATTAGTGGATCACTGATGTGAGAACATATATAGCAGATGGATAAGGAGTGGAAGCAGTGTGAAGGTCCTTGTAGGTTCAGGCAAACTTGAATTTAACGTGGTAGAAATGGGAGAGTCAATGGAGGGATTCAGAGACATTGTGATCAGAGGAACAGCTAAGCAAGATGATGTTAGTAGTTAGGTACTGAATGGACTGGAGGGGGTGATATAGATGTGGGGAGCTCAAAGGAGAAGCGGTTGCACTGATTAATTCAGTAGAGGATAAGTGCTTGGAAAAGAGTTTAGTTACATGGAGAGAGAAAAAAGCCAGATCTTATAGATGTTATAGAGGAAGAAGTGGCAAGATTTGGACATGGCCTAGATCGGTGGAGCAAGAAAGAGAGGAGTCAAAGATGGATGGTGTAAATGAGACCCTTTTCTAATTCTTGACATGGTGGACATCTCCCTTATATTCTCTCATACACACTTCAAGTCCCAGCCTCCTCCCCTCACTCATGTCATCCAGCCTTCCACAGCTTCCCAGGACGGGGGAGAATAGTACAAATGGGGGAAGGGAGTTCTTGTGGCTATCAAAAGTGAGAGGGAGAACAACTAGGAAAGATTTTTTCATTTTTACTGCTCCTTTCATTTTGCAGCTCGACGGAAGTTGTGGCAGAAGGAGTGAAGGGAAGAAATAGTCCTTCATACCTTCACTGATTCCATCCATGTGGGAGAGGAAAATTTGATGTAATCTCTGCTTGTTTATTTCTGCCAAAAAGTAACTGTTGGGCTCTTATTCAATAAACTATCTCTGGGCATTGATAGTCAAACTAATTAATGTCAAATCTCTAATTCCCTTTAATGGGAAAGGTTATCAAGAAGGTAGGGGGGGAAGAGTCCTTAGATTTCTTTGACCATGATCGATATAGTTTTAAACCCGGGTATTGTATGGAGACTACAGGGGTTTAATAGGCAGCAGGTTTAAAACAAATAAAAGGAAGTATTTTTTCCCACACAACACACAGTCAACCTGTGGAACTCCTTGCCAGAGGATGTTGTGAAGGCCAAGACTATAACAGGGTTCAAAAAAGAACTAGATAAATTAATGGAGAATAGGTCCATCAATGGCTGTTATCCAGGATGGGCAAGGATAGTGTCCCTAGCCTGTTTGACAGAAGCTGGGAATGGACGACAGAGGATGGATCACTTGATGATTACCTGTTATGTTCATTCCCTCTGGAGCACCTCGCATTGGCCACTGTCAGAAGACAGGATACTGGGCTAGATGGACTTTTGGTCTGACCCAGTATGGCCATTCTTACGTTCTTATTGGTTGATCTCCTGCTGGCAAATTACAAGAACCAGATATTCATTCTGATTTTAATTTGCTCAGCACCTCTGATACTGTGCCACCACCACCTTCTGGTCAACAACTGTGGACACTGACAGAGATGGAAGGAATAGTTTTTGAAGTGGCTCAGTTCTTTCCTTGTTAAGAGGATTCAGGCCCTGGTATTTGCTTTGTATTGGTTCTGGTATTTGCTCATCTACCCCAAGGGTGGTCTGGACCACAATCTCTCCAATATGCAGAAGGCACTCATCTTTATGTTTGTTTCATTAGGTCCGGCTAGTAAGCTGCCTCTTAGTGTCTTGTTGAGATGAGAACTTGCAGAGGGTAAGTTGATTGCACTTTAAGCCAGATGAGACTGATGGTCTGGGAGAAGTGGTGATAATAGCTGGCCCCTCTATTATGAGAATTTGTCTGCCTTTTGTTATTCAGGTTTGTAAGGTGGGAGTCCTGATGGACCTGCAGCTGCCAATCAAAGTTCAGGTAGTGGCAGTGGTCAAGATTACTTAAAATTTATGCTTGGCCAGGAGGCTACATCCTCTTCTTTGGTACCCCTGATGGACCTAGAACTTTAGGTGCTCAACTTGGTAATCTATTTGCTGAGCACTGTTGTCAGTAGCTACCGGTCTGGTGCTCTGCTCTTGTTCGATGATGATAACAGTTGACTGCGTGCGTCTTCCCTCTGTGTGCTGCCCCAGCTGCCCAAAGACCACACAGACTCTAGTAAGGTATGAAGGAACCCGAGCCAGGTTTATTGTCAAACAAAGCACAGTAATAGTTTCCTGTAGACGCTACAAGATATACTACGAATTTGTGCCCCCCGACAATGGACCGGCTCAGTCAGTGGCAGGACTTTCCACTGCCCCCAGGCCAGACAAAGATGTGCACTTCACCGAGAAGTCTGAAGGACAACATAATCAAGGCACAGCAGACTACTGGTGAGAACACGTGTGAAAAAGAAGAGAATGCAAAGAACAAGCAACAGCCAATGTGACTTTACAATAAACTGCTCACATACCTGAAGAATGAAATAAATGGTTACTCTTCCTGTGCAGTAACTGTGCTCCACTATAGGTGCGCTAGTCCCCCTTTGCCTTTGATCCGAGATTTCTCATAGCAGTGTCTGTTCAGCCCAGGCACACATGCTAGTCAGCAAGGCTGTTGTGATGATGACCTGACTGCATATGCTCCAATTCCAAAACTTGACACCTCTGGCACAGAGGGAGGGTGATATTGCTCCTCCTTCCAATTGAAATAAAACCTGCATGTTATGCTATCTGTCATGACCTTTCTGTTTGCCCCTCACTAGCTGTAAAAACTGGAGACAAGCGTATCTGACCATTCTGAATTCCAGGAGGCTGCTGTGTAGCATGATCTCTTGCAATGTCAACTTGCGCTGAACTGTGAGAGTATCTAGATGCTCCCCCCACCCTACCAGAGAGGTGTCCATCATTATGATGACTCTTGGGGAAGGACATGCAAATAGAACTCCTGTGCATATGTTGTGGTGGTCTTTCCACCAGCTGAGGGATTGTTTTATGCAGGTGGATAAGGAAAGAAGTATCACAGAATCATAGAACATCAGGGTTGGAAGGGACCTCAGTAGGTCAGCTAGTCCAACCCCCTGCTCAAAGGGGGACCAATCCCCAGACAGATTTTTGCCCCAGATCCCTAAATGGCCCCCTCAAGGGTTGACCTCACAGCCCTGGGTTTAGCAGGCCAATGCTCAAACCACTGAGCTATCCCTCCTCCCAAATATGCTTAGACTGTGTCTGTTTGGTGAATAAACAGTTCTGAGTCACCCCTGAAGGCAGCGCATTCGGAGTCTTGCATGGTCTATGAAGAAGTTGCTGGCTGCTGAGAGCCCCAACAACTGATGTGAGTTCTTGACCCGAGCTTGGGGACTGAGCTGGAGTGTATTCACTAAGTTGGAAAGAGCCACAAACCTATGCAGAGGAAGGTAGACTCTTGCGGTTACTGAATTGAGATGAGCTCCTATGAATTCTAAGTTTTGCAGAGGGGTCAAAGTGGATTTTTTGAATATTCAATTGCAGGCCCAATTTGCAGAAGAGATCTATAGCCTAAGGATTGGTTCTCAAAAATTCAGCTCGAATTCTTACCCCTAACACTACATCTTTGATGCAACATATGGCTCAAGGTGCGATTTTGAACATAAAAGGACATTACCAATCAAAAATTGCAAACTGGATTATTATTGCTCTTGATGCAGATCAACACAGATTCAT